AAAAATAATTTTTAAAAAATATTATAAATTCTTTTTATTTATTCATATTTTATGTTCTTTGAATTGATAATATTTAAGAAAAAAGTTAAAAACATAAGAGCAAATTTTTTTTTTCAGTTTTGAATATTAATTTATTTTAAACTTGGATATTTGTTATATTTTTAAATTACTTGTTGTGTTACTCAAATAAATAAAAATAATATCTTTTTTCTATGTAAGTGTTTTGTAAAGTAGGTTATGAGATAATTGTATTAGTTTGAAAATGAAGTCAAATTGAAATCTTTATTTAACTATTTTATATAATATAGTTCTTTAAAATGATAAAATAAATTAATATTTATTATTATTATTATTTATCACAGGATATTGCAGAATTAAACTAATATTCGGAATATATATATAGAAGTGATGGATATAAAAGTAAAAAGGTGGCTCTAGAGTGTTCTTTAATTTTGCTTTTGTACCAACATTTATTCAAAATAAAAATAGGGTATAAATAATTTCAACAATTTAATTTCTCTTTCTTTATTTATATATAATTTTTAATTTTATTATATAAATATGTTATTTTTAGAAAATATTTATTTATGTTAATATCCTAAGTAAAAGGCAGTGAAAATTTTATGGAAAATAAATAATAGAATTATATGTGTGTTTGTGTGTGTGTGTGTGTATATATATATATATATAGGTGAAAACCGGGGTGACATGAGCAGAAATCCAGCTTTTGCCGGCAGAAGTGACGAGAGCATGGCATAAAAACAGAGAATGGCAATTAATGTGCCACGTGGCATCCTCTGAACCTCATATCTCCAGAATCTTTAGGAAAGGCACAGACAGCTTCCGTGTACTCCTTCCAAACAAAACGCATGGCAATGGCTGCCATTCTTTAACTCCCTCTCACCTCTTTGTCTCTCTCAGCAACTGTGTTATCTTGTTTTCCTACTGTACTTGCTATAATAGTCTTTCGAGTACTTTTAGTCTATCAAAAGAGTTTCCGTGGAGGATCCAAAAGACAAAAGGTATGTGGATATTTTTCACTCTCAATTTTCACTGTTCAAAACTTGCTTCTTCTGTTTGTTTTCTCTCTTTTTCTTACTTGATTTTTCTTCTGGAACAAAACCCTTATCTTTTCATTATAACAGAAAGCAAAGATGGTCTCATCTTTGCTTTCTTTAACATATATATATATGGATATAGATCCCATGCATGTTTTGATTTTGGATTTTGGGTTGCTTATGAATGTTTTGATTATTAGGAGACCTTAACCAGTAATTGGAAAAGTGGTTAATCATGATTGCCTATCATGCTCGAAATCATATTCCAAGAATATAAACTTGAGTGCTGATAATATTACAAGAAAATAGACTTGGGTGTAGACCCTACATTAGTAGAGACGAAATCATGTTGAGAAAAAGAAAAAACCCCATATCATCTTTCTTTTAATTCATCAGCATTCTGTTGAATTTTTGCAAAGCATTTGGTTGTGGCTATTGGTCATAGGGTTAGTCTAATTTTTTATGATTCAGTGGTAAATTGTTTGCTATTCAGATTCTATTCATCCCCTGTATAATTCTTGAGCTATTTTTCTTTATCCCAGTATGTAGTTCTAGTACCATTTCAATACAGGAATTAGATTCCAAAACTGGTTGCGAGAATTAGAACTAAATTCCAAAATTTCGATACAGGGATTGTCGCATTCTCCTGCCTCCTATAGTGTTATGATTAGTGTATATATATTTTTTAATTAATAAAATATATAATTTCTAGAATTATTGATTTTTCAGTGATTAGAGTTTCTTCTCACCACATAACAGAGATAATTAATTTTGTACTTCCTATCTTTGGGAATCACTCTACTAATCGTGCAATCCTTTCCTTTCGTACTTTCCTGGGAAGCAAATTTTTTTTTTCTCTTGCTATAAATGAGCGGAGTTTGTGACCCCTAAACATAAAATTGTTACGTACACAAAATTTACTCATCTCTATAACCCATTCTTAGGCAGATTTTGTTGTTCTCATTGGCAAAATCAGTGGAGCTTGATGCCGTGTGTGTCATGTGTTGTACTTTCATCATAGCATGGAAAGAAATAAGCATTTACATTATGCACTAAGAAAGATGATTGATACAGAACAGATAAATGAATACTTCCCCTTGTAACTAAGCCAACTCAATGACATTTTCTTCATCAAATTATGATAAGTCTTAATGAAGGTATCCGTTTGTTTCCATGTTAGATGGAAGTTCATTGGTCCTGTTATCAATCAGTACCACCACCAATGTTTTTTTTACCATAAATACAAAGTAATTTTTAGGGTAATCCCTCTTGTTAGATGTCGAAAGGGGATAGGAGCCGCAAGATAAGCCTCATCCATCTCAGTGGGTTGGTTATCAGAACCTTATCAGTGAAGTGAAGCCCCATGGTTAGATATAGGAAGTACTTGGTGAAGCAATTCATGCTAAGTCATACCTTTTTTCTTGTTTGGTTCAATAAAGATCCTTACTGCAAGTGCTATTCATACTGGCATTTCAGTGTTGCTGGCTAGATGGTGCATCTGACCAAAGATGAACGTGGATAAAGACAACCTGGAACCACACACAGATTTAGGACTCACTGTCAATTATTCCAATCACTGCATCCAGAGAAGATTGAACAACCATTTAGGTGCAGGTGCAAATGCAGGTTCAAGTAGAGGCATGACATTTGTGACTACTGATCCCTTATCTGAACTAGTTTGGTCACCACAAAAAGGCCCAAGTCTCAAATGTGCCGATTGCAGCTTTAGTGATAAAAAATCCTCTCTCTTGTGGGATGCGGGGCCAAGCAATGTGGTTTTTTCATCAGCACCACCAATGATTTCAGCTGTGAGGTGTAGTAATGACAAACTTATGAATGAGAATAATAATATGATTAAATCCCATATGGGATTTTATGTGAAAAGTGATGTTGGTGATAGACATACTTCGGCTAGGTGTCCAACAAATAATGCAGCCATCAAACCGGTTAGTGGACCAAGTCCCGAACAGAAGACAGGTGAGGATAAATCTTTTACAGTTACATGTAATGCGTTCTCTAAAAAGTTTTAGTCTCTTTATTTTGGTCCTATTCTTTTCCTCATAGTTCTAGTACTCATCTCCAAAAGGCTCGTTTTCCTGATAGCGTGAAACTTTGGTTTCGCAGGAACTGGTGGTCATATGGAGGAGACAAGCACTATTTTGCAATTATCTGTTCAACATGCTAACAAAAATGATGATCTATCAAGACCTAAAGGGGAGGTTACATGTGATCTAAACACTATTCAAGCGGATGAAGCAGCTGAGGCGATAGAAGACAACTTGAAAAATTTCCTAGGTATATAGTTCTCATTTTTTACACCATAGCAACGGAAGCCTAGAAAATGGTTTATCTCTGCATTCTTTTTTTCATCTTTTCTCCCTTACTTTGATTTAGTTCCTTCTAAAGAAAATAGTTCATCTCTGAATGGTTCTAGAGCCCATGGCTTGAGTGCAGTAAAGATTATCATTACTTGAGCAAAATTTAGAGCCATGCAGAAGACTCCTCTTTTCCTCCCCTTGTCCTGCTTCAAAACATGGGTTGATGTGTAAAGTTTCTACAGTTTGTTCATGAGTAAAACAGTTTCCTTTTTTGGTTAATTTAATATATGTTTGTGTGTGTACTCATATAAAGTAGCCTGATTGCATTTGACTCTTGTTGATAAACAATTTTTTTTTTTTTTACGTGAAATAAAGCAGATGTTCTAAGACCTAACGTGGCTCAGACTGAACCCTTATTTGAGAATCCAGCTGGTGGATATTGTGATGCTAACAGTGAGAATCAGACGTCAAAAATTGAAATCAATTTGATGTCTGATATCCATGCTAAGAACAAAACTGAAGCATGTGATGACGCTTTGAAGAGTCAAACTGTGCCACCCAAAAGACGTGAAGAACCAGCCTCATTTACGGAAGGAGAGAATGACAGGAAGATAAAGTCAACTGATTCATCAAACATCAGGTGTATGGAAAAGTTGGAGTCAACTGCTGAGAATGATTTACAAATTCATATTGGTGAAAATGGATGTGATGCTGCAAGTAAGAGTGTGGCAACAGAATTTGCTCATGAAGGTAAAAGATGTTCCCAACAGGAGAAGGCGAGATTTCGGGAGAAACTTGCTTCAGGTAAATATTCTGCTAAAAATAGTGGGATCCAAAAATATGAAAGGAAAGGCAAGGAGAAGGCTTTGTCCGATGGAAACCTGAGTATGATGTCAAAAGAGGCTGATGATAGCTATGAGAGTGTTGAAAGCTGTAATGGCACTGGTTTATTTTCAACAGGCAAGAGAAGATGGAACTTTGAGCAACAGATGATTGCAGGGAGCAAAAGAGCCAAAATGCAGATCCGGGAAACTCTTGAATCAACATCATTTGTAAAACAAGATAGCTCTTTTGTCAACTGGATAGGAAACATGATGAAGGGTTTCTTGAAATTGAAAGAAGATGAGGCACCTTCAGTATCTCTTACACTTGCATATCCTACAAATGGAGGTCCTGATCATGATACTATTGCAACCACTAGAAACAAAAATCCTGGATGCAGAACTGTTGGTTTTCAATCTATTTTTCAGTCAATATATTGCCCACAGAGAAGGATTCAAGATGTTACAACATCAAATGACAAATGTCATAAGGAAGTTGAGCTGCCTAACGACATATTTAACCCTAATCCAGTAAATTGTCATGGGAACTTTACCAAACAGTTTACCATATCAGATGAAAGGAACACTGAGTCTACATTTGGAAATGGTGTACTTTTGGAAACTCAGCCTAAGATTTCATCTGTAAATTTTGCTGCCAGTCAGAGAACAAGAATACCAACTCTTCAGAGACAAATGGTTGTGCAATTTGCACAATAGTAAGGGGAAAGAGGGAACCAGTTCCTCTTCCTCTCTTGGTAAATATAAGTTGAATATTGCCGAGAATATTGATTCTGAACCCCTTTCTGAAGGGGAGTCTGGTCAAAACTTTGGCAACGGAAGTGACCATCTGGGAAGCTTGTGGATAGCTCGTCTTGCTCCGAAAACTTCTGGCTTCTCTCTAAACCTGAATCAGCAGAACCGAAGTACAGATGTAGATCTTGAGTACTCTGCTGATTGTGCAAAACTTCCTCACTCCCCTCAATACCATGTTAGTTCTCCCAGTGAGGCAAAAATTGTGGAAGCTAGGCAGCATTCTCTTGACGACCAAAAGATTGCCATAGGTAATGACTTGCCAAAATGTGCTGGTGAAACTGAATGTAAAATCACTTGCAACAGTGCCAAAGACCACAATGATCATAAGTCGACTTACAATATGAACCCAATCTTGTCCTCACCAATTGAAAACTCAGAGGCAATGGCTTCTCTATTTGCAAGAAGACTGGATACACTAAGGCACATCATGCCATCAGATCTAGTTGAAAATACAGCTTCTGCAACTGTCAGCTGTTTCTTTTGTGGCAGAAAGGGTCACCATTTACGAGATTGTCCAGAGATGACTGATGAAGATCTTGAAGATCTTTTACGGACAGTTAATAAATATAATGGCACTGAAGAATTCTCTTCTTTCTGTGTCAGATGTTTTCGGCTTAATCATTGGGCAGTCACATGCCCAAATGCATCATCAAAAGGAAATCGTCAAAGAGAATGTGGTGCATCTTTGGCGGGTGAATTTAGTCCAAGCAGTGGGAAGCATAATTCAAGAATTGAAGAAAATCCAAAGTTTTTGAATGGGAATGACAGCCAATTTCAGGTTGCTGAAGTCCACTCACTTCTTGATAGGAATGATTCTGGAATAAGAGCCAGTCTTAAACTGAATTCAACAGAGAAACTTGTAGCTTCCAGCTCTGGGAAAAACAAATTGAGAGGAAATGAGATCGTGCCCCTGTCTAAATACATCACTAGGGAGAGTTCAGATGTACCAAAGGGAATCTTTGATGCAGTGAGGATGCTGAGATTGTCACGTACAGACATCCTCAAGTAAGTAGAGAAATATTTATTTTATTTGTTCCTTTGAAGAAACCTTTACTTAGATATTTTGTATATTTGTTCATGTATACTTGAACTTTGATTACCTGACAAATGGATTAGACTAAATGAACCCAATTCTGGATAATGATATGTATGCAATGACTTGCAAGCTTACCATTGAATCTAACTCCCTCTTTAGAGGTGAGCCGTGCAATCATGTATTCTTTCACTAATGTGATGGATTCTTGATCACATACAAATGCAACACTGGTTGTATTGTTGTGAAAAGAGGATATTGGTTGGAAAAAGTAGAAATTTCAAATCAAACGTGAAATTTTAGTGCTCAGATTTGTTCTAAATGGCTCTCTGCGATTGCTGTGATTGTTCATTTTCTTTTTGTTGGTTTTTATTATGTCAGGTGGATGAATTCACAAATGGCAGGATCACATCTTGATGGTTGTTTCCTGCGCCTGAGGGTGGGGAAGTGGGAAAAGGGCCTCGGAGGAACTGGATACTATGTGGCTTGCATAACTGGTAGAATGCCACCATTCGCCGCATGTTTACTTCTTGTATTTGAAATTGTGTATTAGGTCCATGTTCATTGGTAATGACTCATTTGGGTTTGTTTTTCCGATTTTCATTTTTCTTTTCTTGGATGCACAGAGGCACAGAGGCAGAGTTCACCCCAGAGCTCCAAAAACTCTATTTTTGTTGTAGTGAGAGGGATAAGATGTTTGGTTGAGAGTCAGTATATCTCCAATCATGATTTCCTGGAGGTAAAATCTAAATTAACTTCATCCCATCAATAATTAAACTGCAAAGAGTTGGACTTTCATCCTGATCTACAGCTTGATTTTAGAATCTCGATGTTAACAATTATGCGAATCTGAAAGTTGCTAATAGCAGCCAATGCCATAATGCTTACTAATACTTCATGGGAAGTATAAGGAAAAAAAAAGTAGCAACCATTGCAGAGCTTCTGTTTGTTGCCATATTAATCATCCTTGCTGCATGTTTAAAGGCAACAAATATAATGACTATTAGCTTCATGTCACCCCTTCAAAAGCTTAAATTACATTGAAAAGGAAAAAAAAGTTCTTGGAGAAACAGCAATTTATAGGACCTGAACTTATTTGGGTGAAAGAAAAGTCAGGGCGTTCTTGTTTAGTACTAATTTTCTGCTTATTGCTAAACCGGCTTTGCATCTTTTGCAGGATGAGCTGAATGCGTGGTGGTTTACAATCGAAAAGAATGGGGGCACGATTCCAATGGAAGAAGTGTTAAGATTGAAGGTAAAGGAGAGGAGAACATTAGGCTTTTAGGTAAGTATACCCAAATTTCAAAGATGCAACTGTGAATTAATCTATTGTAGAATTTTGTATGTAGAATTTTGGTTTCCTTCTCTTGTGAATGTGAGGAAGAAATTTTAGAGGTCAAGGTGTCCATTACAAAAAATTTTTATGCCTAAACTGTGTGTTTGTGAGAACATATCATCAAGATGTGTATGTTAATGAGCCTGGATTTCTCTGTAAACAGGACAGACACAAGTACAATCTGTATATTGGTGTCGTCTGTTATGTTGATAAAAAATTCTGAATTGTATTATTTATACATTGAAATGTTATCTTAGCATAAATTTGTTCGGTTGAAAGTTCAGGTCAGGTGTAAATCCTTTTATTACTGAAATCTAATTAATAATGATTAGGTGACAGTTAGGATCTGGATTCTTCAAGTTCTGTTGAACTGATAACATGCAACCACCTTCGAATATGGTGTCCTACTGCATATAGTTTGCGAACTTTTGTGTCCGGTATTTTGGGCATTAATTGGATTATTGCTGGGTCGGTGAGGGGAGAGATTTGGACTTGGGATGGATTATATGTAAAAAATAAATTAGCTAACGTGATCCCTTTAGCTGTTTTCCGAGTTATTTGAAAAGAAAGGAATAGTATAATTTTTGATTGTGAGGATCATAACTTTTTTAGACTGAAAAATAGATAACTGAATTATTATTTTAAGTTTATTTTATTAGATCATGACATTATTAGTGATGTGAATTTAGGGAATATCGATGAAACACTAATTCTATTGCAAATCTTTTGTACTTGGGTGTTACTCTTATTTTGTTGGTACTTCGTTAATATACAGTTTACTATTTTTATTTTTATTTTTAAAAAAAAGTTCTGTTGAACTGATATTTTAAAAGGTTTCTATAGGAAATGATATACAATTCATGAGCAATATGTGACATGTTTTTAGAAGCAATATGTGAATTCTTTAAATAATGACTTTAAGTCATTCCCCTTCTGTAAAAGGTTTTTAAAAATTATACACCATTACAGACATCCCAATACATTATTTTAGATTGAGAATATGAAATATGACTTAATAATATTCCATATTCTGAAATCATATCAACCCTTGTCTGTTTTGAAGGCTGGGACTTTAGCCAATAATTTTTTTCAGTAAAATATTAAACTATTAAATAAGTTACTAAACAGCATATCTGATTAAACCTAACAATCATATAATTAACACATGAAATTGTAAAAAACAAATTGGTATTTAGAAATTAAAGTGAACATGTGATATATGATGAGTCTACTGTAGGAAAAAAGAGCATAATCCAACAATTTGTCAATTCACCAAGCACCACATGTTATTCTTTTCCATTTTTGTGTAAAAGAAAATTAGCCAATAAAATTACATTTTTATACCACCAAGACTTTTTACTCGAAAGGTTATTTGATGTTAAGAGAAAAAACAGGGGACTTAGTTTAGTCAAAACTTTCACTAATAAACCAGTAGGTGTAGAAAGCGTTCTTCTCCAGCACCATTAAAAGCAAATTCCAAACAAAAACTCTTATCTTTCACATAAAATAAAATAAGATCTTAATCAAAAAATGATAATCAACGAAAAATGCAAGAGAGAGTGGAGAAATCTCACCAAATAAGTGTTCAAATAAATCCACTAAAGAAGAAGCTTACACACATCAACACCGTTCACTTTGAAGATCATAAGGTGAGAGACAATTTATTCAAATTTCATCAAAATCAAGGAAAGATGAGACATCCAATCTTGGCAAGAAAATTTCTTCTCCTTTTGTCTCTAAACTCTGCCTTTCCTTTTTTTTTTTTTTTGTGTGTAAATTTTCTCTTCTTATTCTCTTGACCGAAAAGCCATCAAAATGACTTTCGGGTATTGACTTTTCACCTGCTTTTCCTTAAGCTAACATCGTATGTCCTATCAACATCTTATTCATGTTATTTCTTGTTAATCTTCTTAATTGAACTTTAAGTTCTGATTCATGAGGGGGTTGTTCTTCATGCTCATTTGCTACAACATCTATTGCATGATCAAGCATGGACTCATCATCATTGCCTCTAGAAAGATCAACTTCCTATGCATCTCCATCATTTTGCCCAAAGGTGGAAAATTCTAAAGAAATATCTATAAGCTTTTCTTGAATATATTTAGGCTTTTCAAGTTCTTCAATGGTACGATCTTTAAAAAACACTACATTTTTGTTTCTAATGATCTTCTTTCAAACATGATCCTGTAGTCTATATTCATACTCTATGTTTATAACCAAGAAAAATATGAATACGAACAAAATGTCCTGCAACCATATTATTTGCATCTATTCATCAATATTAAAGAACACTACATCTATTCATCAATATTATCTGCACGAACACACGTATACTTCCTTCCTTTTTCTCTTTTGACACTTGTATGGAAGAATTTGAACACATCCAACACCTAATCTTTAGATTTTAAAGCAAAAGCTCATACTCTTATAGAGCGATTACCAACAAAACTAGTAAAGTATAAAGCACCACTAAATGTTTTATGACTCATAAAACAAACATTAATATGGACTAAATAAAAAACGTTAGATCTTCTAGATGAAAAAGTTATTTGGAATGCAACTTTATGTTGTTTGCCCACTAAACAATGAGTTCAAGATTTTAAATTTGTACTTGTAAATGGTAGGAATTTCTTCATAATGAGAATGCCAAGCCCTTTTTTACTGACATGACCAAATCTTCTATGTCATAATTCTGTTGAAGAATCTTCAACCAAATAACCTCTCCCTTGCATAACTTATCATGAGAGAAATATAGAGACACGCTTCTTCCTTTTTGCCAACACAATATTGCCCTTAGCAAACTTCCAAGTACCATGAATAAAGGAATTCAATCATCCTTCATCATCAAGTATGTTAATGACCATTAACTTCAGGCTCATCTTTGGAACATAGTCTCACCTTATTAAGCCACAATGTACACAATGTCAATTTTCACGCACACATTTCCAATGCTGACTACCTTAACTATTGTTTCATTTCTCATTATAACATTATTAAGATCACCAACTAGTTTAGGATGTGAAGAAAATCACATTGGGTAAAGACAGGAAATAAAGTTATAGAATCAACAACCCAAGATGAATCATGGGTTGTAAGTTATATTAGAGTACTTAACAAGTTTTGTTAGAATTATAATTAATATATTTTATTGGGTTTAGTTTGTAATATTATAACTATATGGTTTACTTTGTAATAATTAAAAGTTTTATTTCTCTCTCTATATAAATATCAAGATCCCAAAGTAATAAAGTAGAAGAAATTTTATTTTGCGAATATCTTTAGCATCGGTTCTCTCTCATTCTTGAACTACACTTTCAGATTTCTTACAACTTCATGTTTCTCTGAATCTTGTTAATTCTTCTGTTTCATGAGTTTTAGCATGGTATCAGAGCTATAAAGAGTTGATTCAAGCAACATCAAAAGTTTTTTTTTTTTATAAAAAAACCCTATATCCTTAATTTAGAATCTAGTCTTGTTAGTTCGTGACTTTCAGCAACAAATTTGTTGAAGTGTTATCAAATAAAATTCGAACTTAGAAACAATGGCTACAAACTTAGAATATTCGAAGATTGAAGAGATCCTTGCCAATCCTTTTTACCTCCATCGGAATGAAAGTCCAATGTTAATGCTTACTTCTTCGATCTTGACAAGTAATAATTTCTATTCCTGATCAAGATCGATGTATACGACATTAGTCATTAAAAACAAGTTCAAGTTCATCAGTGGTTCAATTCCTATTCCGAGCAAGGACGATCTAGTTTAGGGAGTATGGGAGTGTCACAACACTATTGTGCTAATATGGATCTTGAAGTCCTTATCACCTTCTATAGCTCAATCTATGCTTTCATTTGACAATGTGAAGGACCTTTAAAAGGATCTGCACGATCAGTCCGCTCAAGGAGATATGGTAAGAATTTTTAATCTCCAAGAGGAACTCTATACATTGAAGCAAAGTACACGTTCTATACAAGAATATTTTACTCAAATGAAAATTTTATGGGATGAGCATTATAGACCGATTCCTGCATATGATCCTTTGGTGTTGTAAAATATCAAGTTCTTTTAATGGAGCTAATACCTAGTCTTACCAAAGTGGTTAGTCTGGTTCTACAACATGAAAGCAGTTTAACTACTAGATCTACTATATAACAGGTTGAACTGAGTGCATTCTATGGAAATAAGCTCATTCAATTACAGAAAGGAAATAAAGTTTCACCTAATAGAGCCAATTCTAAGGGACCGACATGTACACACTGTGGTTTCTTAGGATATACGGTGGATAAATGCTATAAAAAATATGGTTATCTATCTAGTTATAGGAATAAACCAAGAAATATATCCAATGTTAATTAAGCTAGTGTTCAAATGGCAGAGATAGGTTCGAATGTGATTGCCTCTTAAATGAAGTTTAATTCTTTTTGTGTGGTAATTCAGAAGTTTTGCCTCCTACTTTACTAAAGAATAATATAATAAGATCTTGATATTGATTCAGCCATCAACATTTTCACAAACCATTCCTCATATTAATATAGTTTATACCAATTTCTAGCACATTCATGAACTAGATACTATTCATTCTTTCTTTTTCAATCCAATAAAGCCAAATGAGCGAATAATTGACTATGGGGCAACTAATTATATAGTTAGGTATAAGGAATTGTTTGTCACATATAGAGCAGTAAATAACTTATAGATAAAAATGTCAAACTCTCAAACTACTAAGGTCACTCATATAGGTGATGTACTATTTTACCTTTTCTTGTACTTAAAGATGCATTATTTTCTCCACAATTCTCTTTTAATCTTATGTCAGTGAGTTACTTGTTACAACACTCTAAATAATGTTTAACATTCAACAATGGTTATTGTACTATTTAGGATATGAGTTGCCAAAAGATGATTGGTATAACTAAAGAGAGGCATAGACTATATCACCTGAAACTACTAAGGACCAAAGATCTTTGTTTTGTAAATTTTATTATTAGATCAAATACTTTAGAGTCTTCTTAATTTGTCAATAATAAAAATCTTTGGCATTTCCGTATTGGTCATATTTTTTCGCTAAGACCTTAGACATTTTATGAGATTGAAAATTTTGTTTTTCCTTCTTCAAACATTGTATGTGACATATGTTACTTTACTAAACAAAAGAGACTTTCTTTTATAATCAATAAATCAACTAGTGTTTACTGTTTTGATCTTGTTCATATTGATATGTGGGGATTAGCCTCAATTCCTTCCTTATATGCTCACCACTATTTTTTTGCTATTTTGATGATAGGA